GGCAGGCAGGGGGATGCTGCGGGGTGGTGCAGCCCTCGGCCCGAGCCGCGGTGCACAGGGGCAGCGCCACAGCTTTGTACTCCATAGTTCCTATTCTTTCTTACCCTCAGCAACCTGAAAACTGAGGGCTTTACTGCATTTCCTTGGCAAACTGAGGATTCAGGTCCTCTGGTCCTCCAGACTTCACACCAGCAGGCTGCTGCACCGTTGCCTGCAGGACCTGGCTCCCGAGGAGCAGCCCGGCTCGGTCGGCTCAGCAGCTGCGGGAAGAGGCAGCAAGCGCCTCCCAGCACCCCGAGGGATGGCTCATTCACCGTGGTGCGGAAAGGTTAAAGATCAAGGGCAGAAAACAAGGTCACTATTGAAAGTCTCGAGTCTGCCAGGGGATCGGTCTCGACCCTCGCAGCAGGGCGGGGAGGACGTGCTCCATTGAGGGACGAAGGCTCTGCCAGCCCCAGCCGTTCCTGCCCTGCCACCGAGGGAGTGCTGCAGCCAAGATGGTGAGAAGATGAGGATGAAGCGCGGCGAGATCTACTGAAAGAGGTGGAACAGGATCTGTAGCCATCAGGGACGGCCAGACAGCAAGGGAGCCCGCACTGTGAGGGACCAAGGTCACTTTGAGGGATTAAGGGGTGACCGAATGAACCTCAGAAGTTAATAGGTCTGCCCCCAACTTGGGCAGGACACCTGGTGAGAGCTGAGCAGGGGAATACCCAGCTGGGGAAACCAGAGAACAGGCTGAGAGCAGAGCTGAGTGCCGACAGCCTCGCAGCTGAGGTCTGCCCTCTGCCTGGAGACCCGCTCTGACACGGGCATCACCGCCAGCGCTAGAGGAATGGAGCTGCGAAGGAGTTACCGATGTTGGAAGAAGCCCTCCAGCGCTTTGCAGATGGTATAGCGCTCAGGTGGAGTCAGCAGGTGCTCCAGCTGCTGGGTGAAGGTCCTTCCTTGAATCTTGATGCTAGAGGGGAGTATCTCTGCGACCCACTGCAGGGAGGTGAGGGCGGAGGAGGTGCTCGGGGAGTCGGCAGAGTCAGAGTCTGCAAGGCGCGGGTAGAAAGAAAAAAGAAAATTCAACAGACAAAGGGTCTTAACCACAGGTTAAAAGGCTTGTCCCAAAACCCTGGGGACAGCCGGGCCAGCTGCGCCTGTGCACATCGGGTGCTCCATGGAAATACAAGTCCTGACATGCTGATACGGACGTCGTTACCCCGGCAAAACCAGATTTCGGTCACTGGAATGGTGACAAAGTGAAGTGGCTCATCTAGAGCTGTGACTGCCCCTGCCTTCCACGCTCTGGACCAGCTGCTCTGGAGCTCCTGGCTGTTCCAGTAGGTCCATGGACCTGCTGGAGACGAGCAGGGGTGTTTTGTCTGGGGCGCTCTCTGGGACCTATCTCTTCAACCGTGCTGCTTCCCCGCTTTCTGTGAACACACGCAGCTGATATTCCTTCTCTGGCTCTCTAAAGCCTCTGCTCAAGTTCCAAAGCACTCCATGATGATCATTGCCTTCCAAAGCGGCATCAGTCGAGGGTCACCTGTGAGCAAACTGCGGCATTCGCTTTGCTGTGCTCATCTGCGCGGGTCCCTGTGCCGCCTCTGCGGTGAGCGCAGGGCGATACGCCCAGGAGGAGGGACCTGACCGAGGCTGCGGGATGCGCTTATCCACACAGGAACACAGCCAAGGTAGTGGGAGCAAAAAACTCCATCTTTTCTTGGTTTCTTTGGGGGGCAGTGAAGCCGTTTGGGCACCGCTGGCTCTGTACTGCGAAGCAGTGAGGTGCTCGGTTTCGTTTGTAGCGCACAAACGAGTTGGTCTCACAAGGGCTCCTAACGTGAAGCTCAGGAGAGCCCACGGCTGCTCTGGAGGGAAGAGCCGGTCCCTAATTCCTGGGTCTACGCACTGCGGAGCAGCACCCCAACAATGCAGCAGCCCCCCTGCCTCCGCACAGCTTCGGGAACGCAGCAGCGACTGCGCCCTGCCCTGGGCTGCGGTCCTGCCCCTCCGCTGAAGTCCTGCTGACGACCGCCCGCATTGCCCCCGATACCCTCGCGTCCCGCCGACTCGCTCGCCAGCAGCAAGCTAAATAATTCATCAGGGCAGCAGTTACTGTGAGCAGCACGGGCCGTACCCCGCCGCGGGGTTTGCACAGCGAGCGCGGAGGCACAGGGTTGGGTTACTCCGGTCAAGTACACGGCACAGCCTGCGCGTAACGGGCAGTGGCAAGGGCTATCAAGGGCGATGAGACAGGAGAGGATGAACCCTTCTGGAGAGCAGCCAAGCCTGAGATTAAGCATGATCCCAGAAAGCGAGCAGCCGTGTGCCCCGGCGGGAGGAGCAGCCCTCCGGGCAGCGCGTTAAACCTGCTGAGCCCGTGGAAAGTGTCCGGCAATTCCCGCCCGCGTGGGGAATTCGGGAGCCGGCACAGGCTTTCTGCTGCTCCGGGCCCTCTTCCCCCCCCCCGCCACCGCTCCCTTACCATTGGAGAAGTTGACGATCCCCTCTTCCACCACCAAGGTGGGCATCGCCCCGCTGCCCTGCAGCATCGACACCACCTTGTCGTGGGAGCAGTTCCTGCGGGGCACAGAGAGCCCGGGTCAGAGCTGCCCGCCCGCGCGGGCGGCACCGCGGGCAGCAGGGCAGCCTGAAAGGGCGTTTGCAGCCGCCTTCGTTTGTCTCGCAAAAAGCCTCATCTCGCTGCGGGGAGCCAGGCGGTGTCGGCCCCCACGGCGGATCCCCTGGCCGCTCAGTCTTTGGCACGGAAAAGAGCCTCGAGGGAGAGCCCGAACCACCCGCAGCCAGGAGCGACCGCGGGGCACGGCCGATGAAGCCGGCGTGACTTTAACCTGCGCTCGCACCCAGGCGATGAGCTGTCGTTTGAAATGACACAGTGCTGCGGGTCTCTCCTTGCCTGTCCTGATTCTGCATGAAAAGGAAATGCAAGGTGGATGTAAAATGCATTTTTGTTGGGGGGGGGAAAAACCAAATCTTGGAGTGTCCTTGGAGAAGGGTACGGGCCAGCCTGGGACGGCGCCTGCCGAAACGCAGGCTCGGAGGACAATCTTCGACTCGGTCTCCTCTATTTTCTAGCAATGCTGCATCAGCCAGCGGTTTGCTGGATCAGCTGAAATGGGAGAACCTGAGCACTGACAGAAGCAGCATCAGATGTTTAACCTTTAAATAATTTATCACTCTCTCGTATTGTGCAGCCTCTTCTAACCCTTTGCTCTCTCTCTTTGTGCAGAAAGACCAACCTGAGGCAATATGGGCGGCTGCTGCTGCCTGGTGAGGTGCACACTCAGCTCTGGTTTGATTGCTTTTGTTGTCTGCAAATAATATACAGAGGAATTAACTTCTGGGTGGAAGTGCAATTGCCCAGGTGGTTATAAGCTTATGATCCCGTTCTGGGAGTGATTCGTGGGCTGGCTGGTGCTGCGCTCCCTTCAAAAGCAGAGCCCCAGGCGTTTAACTCGTACAGCTCAACTCACAGTGGCTCAAATCAGGGTCTGCGGGTGGGTCGCAGTCAGGACACCAGGTACATATGGGGTGTCGGGCACTGTACAGGGTTATTTGCACCGGGAAGTCAAAGAGGGCCCAGGGATGGAGCTGAAATACTACTCTTGGAGCCAGTTTTTGTAGAAGAATAGTAAAGGAGATGTCTGTGTGGGGCAAACCCCCTCGGGCACCACCTCAGCAGGCAGCTTTCAGGGAGGAGCAGCTCTCGATTCTGTGGCACAAGAGTGAACAAGGGAACACGCGTGTGCTTGGCTACCTACTGCCCCCCCGGGACCCCTTTTAAAGAGCCTCTTACCTCATGTCCAGACCGTTGAGGAACAGGATCCGGTCACCAGCTTTGAGAGCAGCCTTCTCAGCTGGGCTCCCTGCACAGGGAACAAGAGGGGCTTCAGCTGGCAGACCCCTGCCTACGGGGAGGGGTCCCAGCTCTCCGGCCCCTCTGTGGCCAGGGATGCCCCCCCCCACCCCCCAGGGTCCCGCCCGCCAGGGCAGGGTATCTGCTGCAGCTGGATTCTTTGGGTGGGCTGGAGCCGTTCGCTGGGCACAGCGATGCCAGGGCCCAGCTTGCACTGGGAACACGGGTGTGATTTCAGGCTCTTCACTGAGCGCTGACATTTTCCACCTTTCCAAACAGGGAGTGCACAAAGCCAGACCGAATTGTACCACAGGCGCTAGTTATTCCACTTTGGAAACCCCATCACTGAGCCTTGTGAAAGTCCCTTTCGCTGTTTTCTAGCAAACAGCGGGCACTTAAAATTTGTTGTTCAGACTGGAGATAAAGGTCCCTGAATCTTGTGGCTGGAGGTTTTCTTACCTGGCAGAACAGACTCGATCCACACCGGGGCATGGCCGCGTAGCGTGAAGCCAAAACTTCTGTTGCCTTTATAAACTCGCACAGTTCTGCAGGTGGAAAAAGCCAATGTGAAATCAGAGCCCAGTTACTTGGTTCTCATCTCCTTTCCCAGGCCCTCCAAAGCCCCGTTAGCCCAGGTACCTCTTGAGTGCCCAAGCCCTGGCTGCTCCCTGCACCCCTGCCATGTCCCCTTTGAAATGGGAGCCCCCCAAACGTGCCCTGCCCACAGGGAGGGGGGATGGAGGGAAGGTGCGGGCCGGTTTGGTGGCCCTGGATGGCCACGGTGCAGGCGCCC